TTTGAGAACATAATGCGCCTTCTTTGGCAGATCTTGAACACAATCTGACTTAATGACCGAATCAAAATATTCGTCGGAATCATCCGACAATTGCATATTGTCTATAGCCTTTCGCTTGTCTTCCTTTGTGGCTGCTGTAAAAAAAGCGTAACTTGAGCACATTATTTAGTCGATATGCAAAACGCCAAATTACAAAAAAAATTGTTAAAGCCTTAACGAAATTTGAACCACGATCTAACACGAAAAAAACTTGTGAAAGATCGATAATATCGAAAGGCTCGAGAGCAGATTAAAGAACCTAATTCAAAATATTTTATAGATAAACTAACACAGAAATAAATAGAAACTTACAGTGATAATGTTCTCGGCCGTCTTTGCGACTGGTGGAAAAGGATAACAGCATAAATCGATGTTATATAAGCCGTACATGTCATCGACGAAAGAAGTAGTAATTCCCAAATAATGCATTTGCCGATGTTTATCAGTCCATAAATCTGGACATAAACAAAGCGTACCGTTCTCGAAGGGATTAATCAAAAGCGTTCTTATTCGAGAGCGTTCAGTCATAGCAAGGTCACTAATATGTAACGAGATTGTCTTGGCTCCACGAAGAATTTCGTCCACATCAACATTACCATGCTGAGTACCTAGAAGAATCGAAAACGATATAGAGTTTATTCTAATAAGAATTAGCTTACCGATAGAAACAAGTTCTTGAGCAAGTCAGCGAAAATCGGGATCATCGACAACTGTAATGAGACGCATATCTTTGCAGATCCAGCGTGCTTCTAGTTCTTTTATTTTATTTTTAGTTATATCATTCAGTTTACTCTTCTTTGGTGTTGTAAAAGCAGTGATAGATCGTTGTAAAACCGAAAGCGAGGAGGGTATTGAAGGAAGTCTATTTGATGCATCGGTAGATTTAGACGAGTTACATAGATGATCGAGTAGAAAGCGAGTACTGTTGGACGTGAATGAATAAGTCTTGTAGAAAGTCCGGCAAAAAACAAATTTGTCAATGCGTTCTGGAGGACCCCATTAGAACTAACAATTGCGGGAAATCCAAATACTTGTTAACAGGCAGACGTCAGTTTTTTATTTTTATTTTTAATAACGACAAAACGATCTTTCTCTTTCTTGAGGAGACTCTCAATTTGTACACAAGAATAAGTTGTATGACTTGAAGTACAAATAGGTGTTGATGGTGTTAAAGTAAGAGAGACGAGAGTAATGTCCGATGAAGATGAAATAGTACGAGAACGTGGAGAATAGCTACGACCATCGAGTTTGCTTGGTATAGAATCTATGTATAAATACGAATTGAAAAGAGCAACTTTCGAAATCAACACTTGTGATAAAATGAAACAGAATGAACAATTATATACATACGTAACTATTTATATCCCTTTCTATGTTAGACGAATTATATTATGATAATTTTCTTTTCTCTTTTGTCATTATTCATCTCATTCAATTCAAATTGGCCGTCAATATTGTTCTTTTTCTGTCTCAATGTGTGTTCATACAAGAGTCAACCACTTGAATAACTATTGTTCTACTCTTGTGACATAAAATCAATGGCTATTGTAATGCACAACATGGACGGTTATTTGTGTTTTTTTTCTATTAATGAAAGTAAGCGGGAGAGGCATTGAGTCCCGTCTATCCCGCATCCCGTGATCTTTTGTCCCGTATCCCGTCCCGCCCCGCCGGTCTCTGATATAGAAGAACTTATCTACTTTTGTAAAAATGTATATGATGGCAACACTGATCAACTGAGATGTATAGATGGATTTCAAAAGGACTATTCACCTGATAAACCTTTGTGGTGGTATATAAGAGAATCCTTCTTCTACAAGACTCAGCGCAGCTCTACGTAATCAAGATATTCATTTAACGTTTTTATTTCGTGTATATATCTTCGATATTTATTCTCAATTGAGGCATTATCAAGTGAAACATCCTCTACTAGTTTATCGTTGGCAAATGATATCCAGCGACGAGTTGAAAACTTTGAAGGAATGTCGTGATCAGTTGATTTCAGTGGGTTCATTTTTCTCCACGAGTGCAAATAAAAAACAAGCTTTATCGTTTCTCAATGTCTCCAATACCACGGACAAACTGGTTGCAGTGCTCGTTGAGATCGATGCCAATCCCGTAGTCGTGACGACCAAAGCATTTGCTGATATAAATCAACACGGTGAATTTGCTGATGAAGCAGAAGTTCTCTTTATATCTGGTATGATTTTTCGTTTAAACAGCGTCGATTGTAGGAAAGAAGATCACGTTTGGATCATACGAATGACATTAAG